TGCTTGTTCTATGCCTTGCACTTGCCAGCCTTGACTGTTTGACTCGCTCCTCTTCTCAACTGTACCACCCTCAGACTTATCTCTTTTCTCACTGTCTCTTTGGATGCCCCCCTCCCCACTAGTTAAAAGTGTCCCAAGTAGCACTAGCAAATCTCCCCTCCAGGATATTGGTCTCCTTCCAATTCAGGTGCAAACCATCCTTCTTATTTAAGTCACTTCAGGCCAGAAGAGATCCCAATGATCCAAAAATGCAAATCCTTCTCCTCTGTACCAGCTCTTATCGCTGTTCTGTCCTCCTATTCCTACTTTCACCAGCAGTGGCACCGGGAATAATCCAGATATTACTACTCTTGAGGACCTACTTTTTAACCTCCTGCCTAGTTTCCATATTCTCCCTTAAGAAACTTGTTACTTTCTCTTCCTGTGTTGTTGGTACCAATGTGTACAATGACCTCCTGCAGGTCATGCTCCCTTTTGAGAATATTCTGCACCGTTTCCAAGACATCCTTGACCCTGGCACCAGGGAGGCAACATACCATTCTGATGTCTCACTGTCGGTTGCAGAGACATCTGTCTGTGCCCCTGACTAGAGACTCCCCTTTCACAATCGATCACTTGGAACCTGACATAAGACTCATTATAGTAGAGCCAGTCTCGGTATCAGAAATCTGGTTGTCAGTGCTACATTCTGCTGAAAGTCCATCACCCATAAATTTACTGAAACAGCATACTTGTTTGAGATGGGAATAGCCACAAGAGACTCCTGCCCTACCTGCCTGCCTCTCCTACCTTTCCTAGAAGTAACCCACCTACCCGACTGTATCTGTGATTTCTCTACCTTTCTGAAACTGCCAACCACCACACCCCCTGGTTCCTGTATATTCCTTGTTGCCTGTAATTGCCATTCCAACCAATCCACACAATCTGATAGGATTCACAACCAAACACATAATCATCAGGGGAACATTGAAATTCTCCCTAATTTCCCACATCCGACAGGTAGAGCACATCGCTCTATTAATGGCTGTCTCTGCACCTTATTCTACAGACCCAGAAAATAGCACAGTCTTACTGCTCTAGGATAACTTAATATCTACGTTTTATATTTTAAAAAATTAATCAAGATACAGATCTCAGAAAAAATAAAAAAAACCCTTCATCCCTACACACTATTACAGGTTTACAAAAAAACAAGATTGCTAAGTGTTATTCGTCTTAAAAACATACACTTAACTCATCGATGAAATCCTGACACTCCCAGCCATGAGTAGTTCCAATAATGAGGTCTCCCCAAAGTCAGCTGTGAATTTCACTGTTTGTTTGTTTTTCTTGGTCTGAACTCCAATTTCCAGAGATGCTTGTAACTTCACAGTCAGTCAGCTGTGAAAGTTCACTGCTAGAATTTTTTTGATGAACTCTAGAGCAGTTCTCGGACCTCCCATGTGCTTTCCTTGAAATTCCTCCATTCTCTCTTTTCTCTCATTTAACGTATCATTGTTTTTGATCTTTTTTAAAAGTTACGAAAACAAAGCAAAAACTTGTAACAACAGTAATTACTGCTCCAAGAAATCAAAGAAATCACTTCCAGCACTGGAAAAAACCTCAAAAAAAGGAGCAGCTCTTACAGCCATGATTCTTTCCTGACACCATTTTGGTTTGATGCAGAGTGTTAAGTCCTCTATCTTCGATATTCATAAATGGTTGTGGTCCAGTTTCTTGACCTGAATGCTATGTTTGTGTGCAGTGTGTACTGTGGAATCCTACGATGTTACCAAACTCTTTGATTGTAATTTACCCTGGATCCTGATTCTATTGAACTATTCTTTAATAAAAAATCATGTATCATAATTTATAGCATAATCTATTTATACTTTGTATTCCAGGCTATGAGGAAGAAAACTGATCAGTTTAGCGCATGACTAATCATGCCACTACAGATGATGTTACAAAGCTTTTCTCACATGGCTAGGACAGATCTCTGATGACAATGAGAAAATATTAGTTACGAATCTCAGAAAGGGCTTGGAATTTCTGCTGGGGTGTAATCAGCAAAATGTAACAAGAATGTGCTCACCACTGTGCTGGTTTTATGGGCAGATGCAGGACAAAATGTCCACATTGATTTGAAACTCTAGGCCTGTTAGCTTGACAAACTGTCGTTGGGAAATTGTTGGAGTTCATTGTTAAGGAAGGAATATCAGGATTTGTAGAAAAGATTAACATAAACAAAGTCAACATGGTTTTGTGAAAGGGAAATTACATCTGACAATTTTCTTTGAGGCTATAACAAGCAGAGTTGATCAAGGGGAACCTGTAGATGTAGCATGTTTGGATTTTCAGAAAGCATTTGAAAAGGTGCCGCATGAAAAGTTATTACACAAGAAAGGAGCTCACAGTATTGGAGATAATGTATTAACATTGCTTCGGGATTGATTAACACAAATGAGGCAGAGTCAGGATTAATGGAACAGAAGTAGAAACTGCTGGAAAAGCCCAGCAGGTCTGGCCCTTTGAAAGGGCTGTTGACCTGAAATGTTAACTCTGATTTCTCTTCACAGATGCTACCAGACCTGCTGAGCTTTTCCAGTAAGTTCTATTTTTGTTTCTGATTTACAGTATCCGAAGTTCTTTCAGTTTTTATTCAAGATTAATGAATCTTTTTCAGGTTGAAAAGATGTATCTATTGGAGTGCTACAAGGATTAATCCTAAGGTTCCAATTATTTACTGTTTATATTAATAAGTTGGAGGAAGAGACACGGTGTAATGTGTTGACATTTGCTGATGACACAAAAATAGGAGGGAGGGCATGTGGAGGTAAGAACATGAGGAATCTGCAATGGAATATAGAGACAGCAAGAACTGCCAATGCTGGAGTCAGAGATAACACAGTGTGGAGCTGGAGGAGCACAGCGGGCCCAGCAGCATCAGAGGAGCAGGAAAGCCGACATTTTGGGTCGGGATCCTTCTTCAGAATATAGTTAGGTAGAGAGAGTCGGCAAAAAACTTGGCAGATGGAGTTTAATGTAGGAAAGTGTAAGTTCATGCACTTTGATGGAAATAATCAAAAGGCAGACTATTATTTAAAAAGAGAGAATCCATGAAAATGAAGCATAGAGAGATCTGGGTGTTGTTGTGCATGAAACACAAAAAGATAGCATAGGGATGCAGCAAATAATTAAGAAGGCAAATGGAAATTTTACCTTTATTGCTAGGAGATTGGAGTTTAAAAATATGGAAATCTTGTTACAACTGTACAGGGTGTTGGTGAGACCACACCTGGAGTATTGTGTACAGTTTTGGTCCCGTATTTAAGAAATGATATATTGGCATTGAAGGCTAATGAAGAGATTCTTTAAGTTGATGCCTGGGATGAAGGGATTGACTTATCATGAACGGCTAAGTAGGTTACGCCGTTATTCGTTAGGGTTTACAAGAATGAGGGGTGGTCTTAGAATAGAATCCCTGTAGTGTAGAAACAGGCCATTCAGCCCAACAAGTCCATACTGACCCTCTGAACAGCATCCCACCCAGACTCACCGCCCAACCCTATCCCTGTAACCCTGCATTTCCTATAGTTAATCAACCTGACCTACACACCCCTGGACACTATGGGCAATTTGGCATGTCTAATTCACCTAATCTGCACATCTTTGGACTGTGGGATAAAACCCACGCAGATATGGGGAGAATGTGCAAACTCCACACGGATATTTGCCCGAAACTGGAATTGAATCTGGGTCCTGTATGCTGTGAGGTCGCAATGCTAACCACTGAGCCACCGTGCCACCCCAAAAGGCCATCATTAGACTATCTTTTAGTTCCAAATTTTGCTGAATTCAAATTTCATAACTCCAATGATGAGATTTGAACCCTATCCTGTGAACATTGCCTGTAGCTCTTCATTGCTAGTGACTGTACCATTATGCCATTTCTTTAAGGTCTTAATGAAACAAAGGTTCTGAGGACAGTGTTGAGAATTTGTTTTCACTAGTGGGAATCTAAAACTAGGGAACATAGTTGCAGAATAAGGAGACATTCATTTAAAACTGATTTGCAAAGCAATTGCTTTTCCCAGAGGGTAGTCAATATTTGGAATTCTCCACCCTAGATTATTGTGGAAGCTAGATCACTGAAAATATTTAAAGAAAATGTAGATAGGTTTTTTTAAATATTGGAGAGTTGAGAGCAATGATGATCTGGCATGAAAGATGAGTTACAACATAGGGCAGATCAACCTTGATCTTCTTGAATGGTTGGGCAGTCTTAAGGGGCTAAATGACCTACTCCTTCTCCTATTCCTTAAGAACTTATGAGACTGGACAGGGCATTCTCCAGCATCACAGAGAAAGTTAAGAATGATAGGACTTCTTTTTAAACTGTCTGATCTGATAATCTTGGCATTACGTTTTAATTTACTTCAATTGACTGCTTTTGATCTTCCTCTAGACAACTAAAGTCAAACAGGTGTGCCCTGATCTGCTGCAGTAGACTGAATTCAGAACAATTTAAATCGAATTTAAAGTAATTTGAAGGAAGGTTAGAATTCAATTGAAGTGGGCTTTTGTGGTGCAGTGGTTGTGTCTCTTCTTCTAGTCTCGAAGGTTTTGGTTCAAGTCCCACCTTTCAAAGGGATCTGTTAAAACATGTCCATTCAGGTTAATTAAAAAAAGTTAGAATTCTATTTATGGGCCATGTGGCACTGTAGTAATATCTAGAAGGTCCACCTGCCCATTACTCACTGCAGGTAGGGTAAGTAATGCTGGATTCATGTGATCACAGAGGCCTGAAGTTTTGGATGTTTTGCCAATCGTTACATAGGGAACAAGTAACTATTCTGACTTGGGGACATGGTCAGCTTTACAGACACTTCAGACATTGCTTCTCCATTGGATAACAGAGGTAATTGACTTGTATCTAATGAACAAACAAGGAAGAATTCCTGTTCCGATGCTTTGATGTCCATCCAATTCGGGCATACCTATAATTGTAAAGCCAATACCTTGGAATTCCAGAGCTCCGGCACAGTATTGTTGTACAGACTTGCTGCCATCAACTCCAGCTGTGAGGACATTACAACTAGACCTTTCAATGCTTTCAGGAGATCTCTAAGACTCTGTACAATAGTCTGCAGCAGTCGGTTGTACCTACACAATAAGCAAATAGAGAATATTATTCCATACAGTTGGCATAGGCAGACTGAAAATTGGTTGCCTGCTGGATGTTCTTTGCTGGTTTACTGAACAGCATCAGTGAAGGGAGCAGATGAAGAGAGTAACAGATATTGAATTAACAATACCAATGAATACTTGCATTTCTGTGGAATTGTAGAGTAGCTGTGACAGTGTTTGAAAAATGAGAGGTTACAATTCTCGTAAGGCCTATTATTGCAACTGCTGGGATGTTGCAAAGTGCTGTGAAAGTAATGAAGTATTTTTGAAGAGTGGTCACTGTTACAATGTAGAAAATGCAGAAGATAATTTCCACAAAGGAATGTCCCACAAACAGCAACGTGATAATGGCCAAATAATCTGTTTCTGTGTGTTGATGAGAGTAAATATCAGGCAGGACACCAGAGGTAACGTCCTTGCTCTTCTTCGAAATTGTGCCATGAGATATTTTAAGTCCACTTTAGAAAGTAAATGGGTCATGGTTTAATATCCCATCTGAAAGATGACACTTTCAAAGTGTAGCATTTCCTCAGTTCTGTCAGTCTAGACTTGCAAATTCAAGTCTCTACTCTGAACTCTCAATTTCTGACCCAAAGGTGACAGTGAGATCTGCTTGTGTGGAATTCTTTCTTATATGGATCATGAGTTGATCCTGCACTATTCCTATTATATCCACTGCAACAGTGATTCCTTTCTGTTTTATTCTTTTATGGGATTTGGGTATCACTAGTAAAATACAGGACCTTGGTGAGGCCTCTTCTGCAGTCAAGAAGGCTTAGTGAATCACTGAAGTATATCCTGTGGACGGGAAGCAATGCTGCCATTGTTTTATCAATGATAGAGGAGATGAATGATTAAGCTGGTGGCTAGGGTGCCAATTAAACATTGTGCATAAATGGTGGAGAGAATGAATTCTTAACCTGGTGGAAGGGGTGCCAATTAAGCAGATGGCTTTATCTTAGATGGTTTCAAACTTCCTGATTGTCATTGGAGCTGCACTCATTCAGGTAAATGGATAGTATTCCATCAGACACCTAACTTGTGCTTTGCAAATGCTTGACAGGCTTTGGGTAATCAGGAAATAAGTTACCCTTACCAGAATTCCCAGCCTTTGAATCATTCTTTCCACAGTGTTTAGTTAAGTTTCTGGTTAATGGAAATCCCTAGATTGTTGAAGGTAGGAGATTCAGCAATGATAATGTCGTTGAGTGTCAAGGGTAGATGGTTCGAGTTGAATAAAATAATAGTTCTGAAAGGGTTAACTTTGGAAGCTGCATCAAGCTCCAACAATTTGTGAAGTCATTGCAGACTTGGCTTTGGATCTCAAGGAATGAAGACCTATATGCCATGTCTTCTAACAGTCTTAGTAACAATTTCTATCTTATTAATGTAACTTGTACCGGATTACTATCATAGTAATGATAGTTTTGTCTAAGACAAGCCTTTTCTTGTTAAGACTCCCTTAGTGGCAGAAAAGTACTCCAATTATAAGTTGGTAGTGGTTGGCAGGTTAAAGCAAAAACAACAATCAGATTCTTTCTTATTGGAAATGGTTGTTGCTTGGCAAAAATGTTACTTAATCAGGCTGAAAATGAATATGGTCCAGGTGTGACTGTACTATGTCATGATTTTCAAATAGTACTGAACATTGTGCAATCATTCGCAAATATCTCCATTTCTGATCTTATAATGGTGGGAAATTCATTGCTGGAGGATCTGAAATGGTTGAGGTTAGCATTTCCTTTTATGATGCCCTGGAATGAGATGAATGGTCAACAAGAACCACAACCATCTTCCCTTTGTGCTAAATATGGTTCCAACCAATGGAAAGTTATGCCCCAATCCAGGGTAGAAGCTCCATCAGTAAAATGCAGTGTGTCTGATCATATTAATGAATGCCATGCTAACTGTTCTGGGGAAAACAGGTTGGTAATCAGCCTGCTAATTCATAGAATCCCTACAATATGGAAACAGGCCATTCGGCCCAACAAGTCCAGACTGCCCCTCCGAAGAGCATCCCAAACTGATTCATTCCCCTACCCCTGCATTTCCCCATGTCTAACCCATCTGACCTAAATATCCCTAGACACTATGGGCAATTTAGCATGGCCAATCCACCTACCCTGCATATCTTTGGACTGTGGGAGGAAACTGGAGCACCCGGAGGAAACCCACGCAGAAACGGGGAGAATGTGCAAACTCCGCACAGACAGTCATCTGAGGGTGGAATTGAACCAGGGTCCCTGGCACTGTGAGACAGCAGTGCTAACCACTGAGCCACTGTGTCGCCCCTTTTCCAGCACTTCCCCACTATTTTGCAGGTGGGAAAAAAGAGAGTGAAGATAAAATAAATGTTTCAGGGTCCTACCACCTAAGGGATGGGAGGAGAATATTTACTTTCGTGTTGCTGTGTTTGTAACCACCAGATGGCAGAATAGCTCTGTACCTAATTACTTCCTGTATTAGGACGGTGTTCATGGATTCCTCATACATAACTGGAAACTTCTCCATCACAAGGTTAATGTCGATCAGTTGAGGAATTTTTGCCAAAATGTTTCCACATATCTCCTCTACTATCTAAAAAAAAACATAAATTATATTTTAAAATCAAATTGATTTCAGTGCCGTACAATTTTCTTAGTTTCTGTGCACCTAGTTCCAGATAAACCATGGGAACAGTCCTAACTAACCACCTATCATGGTTGATGGCAGAGTTGACACTCCTTCAGGATTTGTCGATACGCTACTGGGGATAAAAGGTTAATCTCCAGCCTGTTCCTGTTTCATTGAGCTTATTTCTTCTATCTCAATTTTGTTTCTTCTCCACCTATACAGTCTCTTCAGATGGACATCTATGATTTCCGATGCCCTGGATTGCTGCAATAGTTTCCAGTTCCCTCGCCCTAAATACCTCCTCCATTCATTATGCATGTCTAATACATTCTCCACCAGTCATCTTAGAATTTCTGAAGCTTCCTCCAACAATGGTTCAAACAGTTCTCAACCAGCACCAACCTCATCCACCTGGCTGAGCTTGTTCGTAGTCTGAACACATTCTCTTTCAAATCTGCTCACTTCCTATAAATAATAAGGTCGTGTTATGGGAACAGGAATGGAATTCCATGGCCGTGTTTCTGACATGTCTTCCCCTTGTACCTCAACTGATAATTCTCACCTGGTGTGATTGGCAGGGTCTTCCAACATATCCAGTCTGTCTCATGCACCTCTGCTGTCACTCCTTGCCCTCTCTACCAGATCATATAGGTTCTCCTTGTCTTCACTTTCCATCCCATTAGCCTCTGTACTCAACAGATTCTCCTCAGCTCTACTGTCCACCTATTTCAGCATTCCATAGGGGCTCTTCCCTCTGTGACTCAATAGTTCACTCCTCAGTTTCTTTTGGCACAGTTCAGGGCAAGCGTAATATGTAAAACCTACCCTTTTACCTCCTCCCTTCTCATTATATAAGACTCTAAATACTCCTTCCAACTAAAACAGTGATATACTTGTACTTCTTTTAATTTAGTATACTGTAATTCACTGCTCATGATGTGGTTCTGTCCACAGTGGAGAAATCAATTGCATTGTGGGGTGACCATTTTACAGCACACCTTCATTCTATCTGCAAACATGAACCTGATCTTCTGTTTGCTTGTCATTTTAATTCTTCACCTTGCTCCCATGCTGATCTTTCTGTCTATAACTTGCTAAGGTGTTCCAGTGAAACTCAACAAAAGTTTGAGGAGTGACACCTTATCTTTCAATTTGGCACTTTATAGCCTGCTGGACTTAAAACAATGAGTTCAATAATTTCAGCTCATAACTATATCTCAACATTGTTCTACACTTATTTTTAATTTTTCTTTGTTCTGCTGGCTCGATGTTCATCTTGTTTCTTTCTTTATCTCTTCCTGTCACATTCAGATTTTTTTTTTACGGGCAATTCACACCTCATTTGGATGGAACCTTCGTTTCTTTGCTATGTCCATTGCCACTTTTTGACTGTTACATTACAAAATCTTTCATTCTTTAATTTCCTCTGGCCTCTGCTGGAATGAGATCTCCCACTCCTCACTTCCACTAGGTTAAAAACTCTTACACTTCTATTTCCCATCAGTTCTGATAAAATGTTAGTGATCTGTTTCTCTCAGATGCTGCCTGACTTACTTTGTATTTTTTTGAGCTCTTTTTGTTCCTATATTTGGTCTTGGGAAAGTTAGCTACTTTTTTCTAGTTTTAAATTTAATGAATAGTTTTTGACATGCACCAAGACATTGATACATTCATTATGAAGAAATAAAAATAACTTCAACCCCAAGTGAAGCTTGTTAAGGGTTAGATTTTAAAAATATGTGGCATAGTAACTCAGCTTGGCTTCTCAAACTTTTTAATTCACTTACTTGTGGGATGTGGGTATCTGTCTGTAGTTGCACTTGAGACGTGGTGGTAAAACTGCCTTCTTGAACTGCTACAGTCAAATGCTGCTATTTTTGGTTGGTTTGTCCTGCTAATGGGACAGAACATACCCAAGGATAGTGATGGTGGTATCTGGGACATTGCGTGTAAGGTATGATTCTGTGAGTATGATTATGTCAAGCTGTTGTTTGACTAGTCTGTCAATTTTGGCACTAGCCCCCATGTTAGTAAGGAGGACTTTGCAGGGTCAACAGGACTGTTTTCTCCATTGCTTCCGGTATCTAGGTTGATGCCGGGTAGTTTGGTTTAATTTCTTTGTTGAGCCTTTGTAGTGATTGATGCAACTGAATAGCTTGCTAGGCAATTTCAGAGGGCAGCTAAGAGTTAACCACACTGCTGTGCATCTGAAGTTACTTGTAGGCCAGACCAGTTAAGGATGGCAGATTTCCTTCCCTTTACTTCTTAATAATAGGTAGTGATTTCATTGTCACTATTAGACTTCTAATTCCAGATTTTTTTTTTTTGAATTCAAATTCAACCATCTGCTCTGGCGACATTCAAACCCAAGTTCTCAGAACATGAGTTGAGTTTCTCGATTAATAGCCAAGTCATAATACCACGAGGCTTTTGCCTTCCCCTGCTTGCTGTGTCACTCAATAAGATCATGATTAATCTGACAACTCCAGATTCCTGCCAACTCCTGATTACCTTTCACCCCTTTGCTTATCAAGAATTCATCAGTCTCTGCCTTAAAAATACTCAAGGACTCTGTTCACTCTTGGGATGTAAGCATTGCTGGCTGGGGCAGCATTTATTGCCTGTCCCTGATTGCCCTTGACAAGATGGTGGTGAGCTATCTTCTTGAACCGCTGCAGTTCGCGTGTTGTAGGTAGACCCACATGCCCTTACGGAGAGAATTCCTTGTCTCTGTCTTAAATGGGCAACTCGTTATTTTCCAACAGTGACCCCAGATCTAGATTCTCCCACAAAAGGAAATGTCCTTTCCATGTACAACCTGTCAATACCTCTCAGATCTTGCGTATTTCAATTAAGTCACTTCTTATTCTTCCAAGTTTTCTTCACAAGGCAACCAACCATTACAGGTATTAGTCCAGTAAATCTTCTCTGAACTGCTTTGAATGTCTTTACATCCTTCCTTAAATAAGGAAATCAGTACTGTGCAGAGCACTGCAGATTGGTCTCACCAATGTCCTGTATAACTGAAACACAAACTTCCTATTTTCATGTTTCGCCTCACAATAAATAATACATTCTATTCACCTTCCTAATCACTTGCTATACCAGCATACTAACCTTTTGAGCTTCATGCATTAGAACACCCAGAGCCCTCTGCACCTTAGAGCTCTGCAGCCTCACGTTATTCAGGTGACCTTATTTTTCCTGCCAAAATGGACAATTTCAAATCTTCCCACATTCTAATATGTTTGTAAGATCTTTGCTCATTCGTTAACCTAACAATATCCCTTTCACCTCCCTATGTCCTCTTACTTTTCTACTCAGCTCTATCATGAGAAAATTTTGCAACCTTCTGTCAAGTAATTTATATAAATTTTAAAATTTTCTGCAGTTGATCAATCTTTTGATTGAAAACAGCATTTCTCACAGATTCAAATATAAATCTAAATTTCTGCACTTTGGGAATAGAATTTGCTTTTTTTTTGAAAGGTACTAAATTTATGCTAATCTAAATTCAGACACAACATAGCATTGTGCATAATTTGGTACTAAACAAGCAGACTTACTCAGGACATAATGAAGACAGATTTCAGAAAAGGGAACACTCAGTGTTGCTAAGTGCAACACTTTATTAAAGATGGGGTGAACGTGCATTTCTAGGAAAGCTACAGGAAGGCTTTATTGTATCCCTAGTCTGTTTTGCACTTGGCCCAGAAATGATTGATGCCAGCACAGGGTGAAATAGTGAAAATATTCCATTCCATTCCATACTACAATTGAACCAGACACATAAAGACAGATTCTAGGTCTAACTCACTGTGACACATTAAAAGCATTTAAATGAAACATACCTCTTCAACTCCTTTGCCGCCACCACCTGATGTTTTTGGCTGAAGCAGGATTAGGCAGTTTAACAACACAGAAGTTTCATTCTGCGCAAATGTGATATTTGCGTTATCATGTAGTCCAAATATTTCTGGGGTGTCATTAAGTGGAAGAGTCTTAATGTATTCCAGGTAGCCCTGTTGGAGAATTGAATGAGATACAGGTTTAGAAGCATGAACTGCACATTCATGATTTTTGTAAGTGTAGTGTAAGTCTGTATAAATACATATTTCTGTTTATAGCATCACTTCTGGTACCAAAGACTAATGTTTTACAAACTAAAATATCACAATTAATAGAAAATCCTCTGTTGGCTTGGAGAGTTTTGTTTTATTTATTCATTTTGTGGGATGTGGGCGTAGCTGGCTGACCAGCATTTATTGCCTGTCCTAGTTGCCCTTGAGAAGGTGGTGGTGAGCTGCCTTCTTGAACTGCTACAGTCCACCTGTTATAGGTCGACCCACAATGTCATTAGGGAGAAAATTCCAGGATTTTGACCCAGCGACAGTGAAGGAATGCCGATATATCTCCAAGTCAGGATGGTGAGTGGCTTGGAGGGGAACTTGAAGGTGGTGGCCTTCCCATATATATGCTGCCCTGTCTTTCTAGATGGAGTGGTCATTGGTTTGGAAGGTGCTGTCCGGGAATCTTTGGGGAATTTCTGCAGTACTATAGATAGTACACACTGTTGCTACTGAGCATCGGTGGAGGAGGGAGTGGATGCTTGAGGATATAGTGCCAGTCAAGCAGGCTGTTTTGTCCTGGATGGTGTCAAGTTTCTTGAGTGTTGTTGAGGCTGCACTCGTCCAGGCAGGTGGGGAGTATTCCATCTCACTCCTGACTTGTGCCTTGTAGATGGTGGACAGCCTTTCGGGAGTAGGGAGGTGAGTTACTCGCTGCAGTATTCCTAGCCCCTGACCTGCTCTTGTAGCCACTGCATTTATGTGGTAAGTCCGGTTGAGTTTCTTATCAAGGATAACTCCCAGGATGTTGATAGTGGGGTATTCAGCGATGGTAACACCATTGCATGTCAAGGGGTGGTCGTTAGATTGTCTCTCATTGGTGATGGTCATAGACTGGCATTTGTGTGACACGAATGTTACTTGCCACCTGTCAGACCAAGTCTGGATATTGTTTAGATCTTGTTGCATTTGGACACGGACTGCTTAAGTGTCTGAGGAATCGTGAATGCTGATGAACGTTGTGCAATCATCGACAAACATCCCCACTTCTGACCTTATGATGGAAGGAAGGTCATTGATGAAGTAGCTGAAAACATTTGAGCCGAGGACACTACCCTGAGGAACTCCTGGAGAGATGTGCTGGACCTGAGATGACTGACCTCCAACAACTGCTACCATCTTCCTATGTATCAGCTATGACTCTAATCAGTGGAGAGTTTGCCCCCTGATACCCACTGATTCCAATTTTGCTAGGGCTCCTGATGACATGCACGTTCAAAAGCAGCCTTGATGTCAAGGGCTGTCACTCTCACCTCACCTCTGGAATTCAGCTCATTTGTCCATGTTTGAACCAAGGCTGTAATGAGGTCAGGAGCTGAGTGATCCTAGCGGAACCCAAACAGGACATCACTGAGCAGGTGCTGCTTGATAGCACTGTTGGTAACACCTTCCATCGCTTTACTGATGATCAAAAGTAGACTGATGGGGTGGTAATTGGCTGGGTTGGATTTGTCCTGCTTTTTATGTAGAGGACATACTTAGGCAGTTTTCCACATGGTCGGGTAGATGCCTGTGTTGTAACTGTGCTGGAACAGCTTGGCTAGGGGAACGCAAGTTCTGGAGCACAAGTCATTAGCACTATTGCCGGAATGTTGTCAGAGCCTGTAGCCTTTGCAGCATCCAGTGTCTCCAACTGTTTCTTGATATCACATGGAGTGAATCAAATTGGCTGAAGACTGGTATCTGTAATGCTGGGTACCACTGGAGGATGCCAAAATGGATCATCCACTCGGCACTTCTGGCTGAAGATTGCTGCAAAAGCTTCAGCCTTATCTTTTGCACTGATGTTTTGGGCTCTTCCATCATTGAAGATGGGGATATTTGTGGAGCCTCCTCCTCCAGTGAGTTGTTTAATTGTCCACCACCATTCATGACACGATGTGGCAGGACTGCAAAGCTTAAATTTGATCTGTTGGTTGTGGGATCGCTTAGCTCTGTCTATCACTTGCTGCTTTTGTTGTTTGGCATGCAAGTAGCCTTGTTTGGTGGCTTCACTAGGTTGACCCCTCATCTTCAGATATACCTGGTGCTGCCCCTGGCATGCCTTCCATTGAACCAGGGTTTATCCTCTGGCTTGATGGTAATGGTCAAGTGAGGATATGCCAGGCCATAAGTTTATAGATTGTGCTGGAGTACAATTCTGCTGCTGTTGATGGCTCACAGCGCCTCATGGATACCCAGTCTTGAGTTATTGATCTGTTCAAAGTTTGTCCCATTTAGCACAGTGTTAGTGCCACACAACATGATAGATGTTATTCTCAATGTGAAGGCGGGACCCTAATGTCCTTTAGCTTAGGAAACTGCCATCCTTACCTGGTCTGGCCTACATATGACTCTGATCACAGGACACTGATCACATAATGCCAGTTGACCACAATTTATAAAAAGTTCTGACCAGAAGTGACCATATGACAAAAACTGTATATTATTCTTCTGGAATGTGACAATCCTTACATTGCACAGACATTCTAGTCAAGCCAACATAAAGGATAAGTAGACTAAACTAAGTTGGGGGGGTTACAGAAAGGCACTAAATCAAATTGAAGATGTGGGGGTGGGGGATAAAGTACTATATCCCCTGTGGTGCTCACGTGCCTCTAAAGGCATCCTGGATCTGCTTTATACATTTTTAAATCAACATATTCAGAAACGTTATTACACGCCTCTGGAACTCAAAAAAATATTAGCCCGGGTTTCTGGTTTACTATTTGAGGGATATTACTGTGACACCAACTCCTCCCAGCTGGGTGTGCTTTACATTTTTAAATCATGCTGTTCGGAGGGCTGTATTGCACACCTCTAGAGCAGGTGGGACTTGTACTAGGCCTTAGCCTAGAGGTAGGGACACTACCACTGTGCCGAGACTACCCTGTTGGTCCTCCTTATCTTAGTTTTATATTCAGGAAGTGCCATTATTTTCTAATCAACTTGTCCAGCAACGCTATCACACGCCCCTACATCAGGTGGAACTGAACTGGGCCCCCAGGTCCAGAGATAAGGATGTTACTACTGCACCACAAGAGCCCATTGGCTCTACTTTTTTTTCTCTAATCAAACTGTTCAGAGCTGTACATTACATACTTTGGAGCTGGTGGAATTTGAACCAAGGCCTCCTAATTCAGAGGTAGGGACACTACAACAGTGCCACAAGATCTCCTTGGCTTTATTTTTAACTTTATATTGCAAAGCCCATTATGGGCAATGAAAACCATCAAAAATGAAGTGGGTAGGGAGAGCGGGAAGGAGGTAAATCAAAGTGGAGTTCAAGGGGGAAATAGCGCACTGCAACCTCCGCTGTGCCCACCTCTCTCTAAAAACATTGAGAGCATTGATGGACAGTGCATGGTCCCTCTCCAAGCACAACTGGGCGTGAACATAACCACAAAAGAGGGCAGACTTGGGTCTGCTTCAGTTTTTTTTCTTTAATACCCAGAAATGCTACTACACAAAACTGAGTGACTTACCAGCAAAAGTATTGTGACTCTTTTTAGTTTCTTTTCTTTCAACTACCACCTATATTGCCAATTCAATATTTACAATCAAAGCCCATTATGGACAATGCAAACTATCAAAAGTGAAGGGGGTTAGGGAGAGCGGGAAGAGGCTAAATCAAGTGGTGTTGGTTGGGGAAATAAAGCACTGTATCCGCCATGGTGCCCACCTCTCTCTGAAGGCATTGAGAATTATGGATGGACACCACATTGCTCCCTCTCCAAGGACACCAGCGCATGAATGTAAACATGGAAGAGGAGCAAACTTGGGTCTTTTTTTTATATACTTCAAAGTGCTATTGCGCATAACTGAGTGAATTTCCTAAATCACCTTAACTTTTTTTTGTGTTTTTTGTTCAACTATTAACCACCAACAGTAAAAGCACCAGTGTAGCCTATTTAATATTTACATGCAGAGCCCATTAAGGGCAACACAAACCATCAAAACTGAGGGGGAGGTAGGGAGAGAGGCAAGAGGCTAAATCAAATGGAGCTGGAGAGGCGAATAAAGCACTCTGGTGCCCACCTTTCCCTAAAGGCATCAAGAGCATTGATGGACATTGCATGCTGTCTCTCCCAGGCCACCTGGGCATAAATGTAACCATGGAACAGGAGCAGACTTAGGTCTGCTGTATTTTTTTTAAAAATTTAACCTATTTTTTTCTAATCAACCTATTCAGAGATATTATCACACACCTCTGGAGCAGGTGGGACTGGAATCCAAGTCTCTCAGTCCAGGGGTAGGGACACTACCACTGTACCACGGTGGGGGGTGGGGGGATCGTGCTCTCATAGCCAATGCTTAGCCTCAGTTACACATTTGTTTGAATCCCTCTTAACTATATAGCTTTGACTTTTGTTCATGTGTATGTTTGTAACATCAGAAGAGAATACATGATCTTAAATAGCTCTAAGCTCAGCTAAATGGCTGGCTTTGATCCCAATATCTTGCAGTAGTCTGGTTTCTGAAAAGACTTTTAAGTAATTTGTAATTTGCAACAAATTTCTCTCCTTTCCTTTCTCTTTTCTTTCTGTCTTTGATGCACATGTTTGTGACTGTGTGTCATGAACCATTTGCCTGGGCTTTGAATGCAATCATAACCCCTCCTTTGTTTTAACCCTAAAGAATTTGCTGTTGGTAATTTTAAATTGAACTTCACAAACAGAATGAGGGGATACACACTTATTTTCAAAAGAGAAAGGGGAAAATAAAAGTAAGAAGGTAAATTTAAAATCCAAACCCCTGTTACAGGCAAGAGAAAGAGACAGTAAAAATAATTAAATTCATCTCTCTCTTTTGTCTGTGAAAGCACTTATAAGTTGTAAGATATAAGTTAAATCCATATTATCAATTCTTAACCAAAAGGAGGTTTTCATAAAGAATGTTAAGTTGGCTCAGTTCCT